GTCTCCGGCTCCCTGCTGGCCGGGCGGATCGCCCCTGCCCCGGCGCCCTGTCCGTGCTGGCCGCTTCCTGGGAGGGGGACCCACGGGAGCGCCCCGCTCAGACAGCGGCTTCTGGGGAGCAGGGGCCAGGCCGGGGTGGAAGTCATGTGCGGTTTTTACAGGTTCTGTCACATCGCAGCCGGTGTTCCCCATCACCTGGTGCTCAGGAGAGATTCACATGCCGCCCAGCTGATTAGCAGCGTGCCCACAGTTAGGCTTTTTTTGTTCCTACTGGTGGTGCAAAATCACACATTGATGGAAAAGATTAGAGGGAACATTGATTGCAACTCTCCCTTGTGTGTGTGTGAGGGGTCAGGTTTGGTAGGAGGGTAGCGATAGGACAGTACCTATAAGAAATTTAAGTGTGTGGTTGAAGAGGGTGTGGGGGAGCTCAGGGCAGGGGATTGTTGATGTGGGGGTGGGTCTGGGTGTGCAGCCATCATGCTATCCATCTGTCAAATTCCCTGGGTGGTGGGAACAGCCCTGCCTGAATTCTGAGGCTGAAGCCTGGTGCAATGTAGCATCCTGAGCCCCACACAGACAGTCTCTTCCTGAAGTGCTGCATCCACAGTACACCCGCATATTTTCTCCTCTGGGCTAGGTGGATGCTCACCAGCTGCTGCCGTAAACATACCTCCCTATCATGGGTTGCCTTATGCTTGGCCGGCAGGTATGCTGTGAGCTAAGAGGCTAATCTGTTCTTGCCACTCCTGGCTGATGCTTTGGTGACCTGGCTTGCAGCTGTGTGCCTCACTCACACCTTGAGCTGATGGTATAGGGTTGCTCATGAGTGTTGGCTGACAGGCATTCTTAAAGCCCCCTTATTTATGTCAAGAAAAATATAGAATTATGGGCAGAGCAAGAACACCTTTCTCATTTGTCCAGGCTTCCAAGTACTGCATGAGGTCAGCTAGATAGCCTGTGCAAGCAGGGGGCAAAGGGAGTTGTCTTCTGTTCCACAGATGTTGCAATAAAGACATTAAAACAATGTAATACAAGTAGTTAGTTAGTCACAGTTTCAAAGCTTCCACCAGTTTATTTCTGCAACTTGATTGTGATGCTATCGATTCCAGCACAGCTTTTTTTTCTCTCTAAACTCTTAATAGTATCTGTGAAATTCATTGGCTGCTCCTTAAAGATCAGGTGTTGTCCCATATATGAGACTTTTTAAAAATGAGCACTTATGTAATACTCTTTTTGTATATTGAAATGTGGTGAATATTTTATCCTCAGGACGGATGGAAGTTTTGTGGTTCATGATATACCTTCCGGATCTTACGTAGTAGAAGTTATATCCCCAGCTTACAGGTTTGAACCAGTTCGAGTGGACATAACTTCAAAAGGCAAAATGAGGTGAGCACTTCATATTATTTCACTCAATTGCAACCAGTTGAATTTGACTAGCAGTGCAATATTATTGCTACTTGATCTCCCTGTAATTAAGACAGGGTTGAGTCATCCATTTTAGATCATAAGTTACGATTTGTACTTTTTCAAAAGTTACTTATAAATGGAAATTTAGCTTCAAAGGTTTAGCTTTATTTTGATTTTTTCCCCCTATTCCCACAAATTAACATGAGCAAATGGAAAAGATTTGGAAGAAAATTGGTAAAAGGAAACTATGAATGTAATATTCCATTTAATCAGTGAATTGGTTAAACATATTGTTTTACTGGTTAACAGCTTACATAGGAGCACTCCAGCCTGCCCACCCCCATCTGTGATGTGCCAGACCAGGCCCACTGTGGGCAGGGCCAATTGCAGATAGGCTGGAACACCCACTGCCCATAGCTCATTGCTCTGATGGAGCTGGGCTGGAGTGCCTCTGCCTGTGGCACACCAAGCTGAAGCAGCCCCCTGCCCATGGTGAGGGTGATGGCTTATTGGTTAATCAGTTAACCATTCACATCCCTAAAGGAAACAAAATAGTAATTTTCTGGATTGATAGCAGGCAATGTGAAATAAAATCTGCTCCTAAAATCTCTACTTCTTCTCTTTTTTGAAGGGCTTCCAGAGGTTTCTCAAAATTATTTTTTCTAATTTTAATCTGAATCCATTTTCTGTCTTGTTTGGTTACATTCGGTCTGAGTCGGGGTGGTTACGTTCTGTTTGATTCCGAAAGAGGATCTCTTCTCCTCCTTATCCCTCCCCCACCCCACCCCATTAGAATCTCTCTAATTTATTCACGCTTCTTCAGTCAGCCTACAGTAGTTATTTGAAGAATGCATCTCCTTATTTCAGGGGTGGAACAGGTTGCTGTGTTAGAATTAAGGGCCATGTTTGTTCCTAAATCCTGAAGTGCTTTTACTAGGCCATGACTCAGACCCCTGTACTCTGTGCTTGTCTCATCACAGCAACTTCAGTTATGTCCTTTGTGTGTGTTACAGTAAGGTGCCTTAGTACATTCTAATACACAACTGTACATTATTGCACATTCTTCAGCAAATAGTACAAAGGAATAATTATCCCTCCTATAAGAGGGATTTGTTTGAGCTAGTAAGATGTTATCCGGCTTTTCCATTGTATGATCACTTAAGTCATAAGCCCAAGAGGCAGAAGAAAGGTGGCCATGGGAAGAGTAATGCTCATTTTATGGCTTCTAAAAGATTAACAAATTGAACTTTGCATTAACTGAGTTTAACAACCATGAAACATTTTACTTTTATACATTTTTTTAAAGGATTTAAAACAATCATGGGTTGTGCTGGGGTATTTGTTTGTTAGAAGTCATTAAAATCTACAGAAGGAGGTACCCAGAAGAAAGTGTTCTCACAGTTGCATTTCACAAAGCAGGTTTACCAGTTAGCTAGTTGCAGAGATCTCCATAACAGTATTGAAGATTTTGGAATCTCAGCTGAATTTTTTCCGAAGCTTTAATCAGATTGTCATAGTAAAATCATCTGACTAATCTTTTCTGACCAGCACTAATAGCTTAACACCCAAAATTGTTTAACAACCACTTCTGACCAAATGATTCTTCTGTTGCAGATCTTTTATTTTTTCTTACCTTCCCACTTCAGATTTCTCATTCTACCATAATTGATAGTCTGGAAAAAGATTAGAGTGGATATTATTAGGATGTGATGATGGATATTGCTTAAAGAGTAACATCTGGCCAAATGTCTTCTGTGGTTCACACTTTCATGTAGAAGCTGGTTAAATTTTTTAGTCTTGTAACCAGCTTTGACTAGAGTGAATATTAAATAAACATTTGTGAAGTTAGAGGGGAGGAATTTAAAAATGCTTTTAAAAACCGTATTTTTTTCACTAGAGCAAGATATGTGAATTACATCAAAACTTCGGAAGTAGTCAGGCTGCCATACCCACTTCAGATGAAATCTTCTGGACCCCCATCTTACTTTATAAAGAGAGAATCTTGGGGATGGACAGATTTTCTAATGAATCCTATGGTATGTATACTTGCAGCTTATAAATCTATTTGCTGCTAATATGAGCTATTACCCAAAAGTTTTTTCAGGTTGGATTTAGGATGGGGTCCATCCATAGCAGTTAGAACCCTAAGCAAAGGAAAAAAAATACAACTTTGATACTTATGGAAATAGAGAAAATACTCAAATTGTTTGCAAATCAGTAAAACAATCTTGTTTTCAGTTATATTGTCCGTAAGATAAGAGGCATCTCTAAAGATGAATAGGTACACCAGCCAAACAGCAATTGCAGACTCATGGTTGGTTGTTGAAAAATGCTTATTACCGATAATTGGATGAAGCCAGTGGGATGGTGATGCAACATTGACTTAAAATGTCACCCTTCTCAGCCAGCAGCAAGAGTCTTTTGCTGTCTTTTTTGTTAATAAGAGCAGGCATTGCAGCATTAAGCATAATTGTATGTGCAAATAACCAATATTGATGATGAGTCTTTACTGTAAAAATAATCTCCTGCTGTTTTCCCAATTAAAATCATGAAAGCATTATTTCTTTATATACTATTTTAATTTGAATATAAAGTGAGCATATTACTATATAACGTGCAGAGAACAAAATCATAATCAGACGGAAATCAAAGGCAAAATATGAAAATGATACATCCTAAACACATTTTTTGTGTTAAAATAGGGTAAAGAATGCTGTGGCTCTCTAGATAGTAATTTTTTCTTGTCTTAGACAATGTTATAATTGTAAATGTGCTTATTTTAATGTGATAGCTGATAGGGAAGAAACAGGCGACCCAGGAGCAGATGGGGTAAACAGTACTGCTTTATTGCCCACACATGTTTACCTTGGACATTCAACACATCATCTGAGTGTCAACAAATTGGCAGGAGTCAGAACCTTTTATCTATTTTAGTATGTTAATTCACACGTCTATTACTACTTTTCCTAAAACTTTATTTAGTAATGTTAACTCCCATAAAATGAATATTAATAAGAAAATAATTAATACAATTATACCTTCTCATAATTACTATTATATCATTTCTAATTTAATCAACACTTTCCTATACTACAGACTAACCGGTTACAGAGATTACAAGGAATTTAACCCTGAAGATACGTTATGCAGAGCCAGTGAGGATAAGCAAGAGACATAACAAAATAGAGCAACTCCATACTTATCTGGTCTCCTAGTCTACAAGAACAAAGAGAGAGAACATGTTCATACAGCAGCAAGGATAATACTGATTTTGACCCGACTCTTAATCTATCTTCCCAAACTACAAAAACAAAAGGAAAAAGCATGTTTAAAGGGTAATGCTGTGGCTAACCCCTGAACCACTAATGCAGAGCTATTTCAGACCTATTAATTTTTACATACTCCAACAATTGCCATATTTTTTAAACAGTCATCAAATCAGAAGTACACTATACCTCATAATGTCAGTCCCACATATAAACAGAGCTGTGTACATGCGCTGTGCTTGGAATGCTTAGCGCATGTACACAGCTTAGTTTAAAAAAAAATTAAGACTTGGAACAGTCTAAGATGGGGAAACTCATAGCTTGCACTTATATGTTCTTTATAAGGGATGAAGATATTTAACTAATATAAAATGTTATAGAGCCAATTTGGTGATTTAAACAGTGTCTTGTTAATTTTGTTTGTCTTTCAGAACATTTTAACTGTTCATGCTCAGATGTATCAGGATCTTTCTACAGTAAAAGTCTAACCGTGTTTGGCTCAATTAAGGGCATCTCTGTCCATGGTAGTTATACTTTTTTGTAGCCTAATCCTAATATGCCTGAGCATGCACAGATATTATATGTTGTTCTTGTTTCAAAACAAGTTAGAACATATGTATAATATAAATTACAATTTTTTTTAAACGAGGAGTCCTGTGGCACCTTATAGACTAACAGATTTATTGGAGCATAAGTTTTCATGGGCAAAGACCCACTTCATCAGATGCATCTGACAAAGTGGGTCTTTGACCACGAAAGCTTATGCTTCAATAAATCTGTTAGTCTATAAGGTGCCACAGGACTCCGTCGCTTTTGCAGATCCAGACTAACACGGCTACCCCTCTGAAATTTTTTTAGAGTTTCATGTTATATTGTGGGCTAATTATGTTTAATCTGGCAGGAAAAAAGACAAACTGCAACCAAAACCCTTTTAGATGTTTTTGATGTCCGAGAGTTCTGATGCTTCAGTAGAATAGGAGGGTACTAAAGGAAATACAGATGCATTCACCGTCATATGGATTCGCTGTCATGCATGTGCTGTTTTTGCTCCTCAAGTGATGTAGAGTCAGATTATAGTTTTAAAATTAGGTTAATTAGTACAATATGGATTACTTCTAGTCCTGCAGATCTTTTCATAGACTAAGTTCTTACTGAATTACAATGAACAAAACTGGCAAAAAGTTGTGTTTCCAGAGTTTCAAGAATCCATTTCTCTTCTAATTTCATAGTCTTTAGAGAAGCTGAGAGATCAGGCACTTTGACATACTTGGCATGCACTCTCACCTTGTTCCCTAAAGCTTATTTACATTGCAGTCCTGCTGAGTATCCTTAGTTATGTACTTCCCTACTGACCTATAATGTAGTAGTTTACATATCAGTGCATCTGATTCTGAGATTATCTTAAAATAGTGAAATAACTTTTCAGAGAAATGAAGTCTTCTATTTGCTGCAGCATTACTGATGGGAATGAGTTGTGATTTTCTGACAGTTTTGTTGGGTTGCCCTGCCATAGAATAGGGATGTTAAATATTGGTTAATTGAATAGTAGATTAACCTCATGAATTTTTATTGGTTACTAACTATTCTGTAGTCTCTGAGGATGAGCCAGCAGCCAGTGTGCTCCACCCCACTCCCAAGGAGCCCCCTGCAACTCTGCGCTGCTGCTGCCTATGTATCCGAGGCAGCAATGCCGGGTGCCAGATGGAGCTGGTCCGTGAGGGGAGCTAGTTTAGAAACCAGCTCCACTTGTGGACTGGCTGCCTGTCTCCCTGTGCTGCTGCCTCTGATACAACGACAGCAGTACAGGGTGGCAGCAGTCCCTGTCTGGGGGTAGATCTGACTTGGTGCAAGCCGGAACTGAGCCAGGCTGCCTGCCAACCTGGTTCCTAATACACTTTAAACACAGAGCTGCAGTGGGGACTGAGCCAGGATTGAGCTCACCTGGCTCCAAATATACTTTAAATGCAGAGCTATGTCCCAGAGCTGGTGCAAGATGAAACTGAGCTGGACTGCTGGCCAGCCTACTAAAAAAAGTACTGGCAAGGAGGGTGGGGAATGCATGTAGTCTGTAGCATTAACAGATAAGATTTCGCTTATCTGTTAATTGACTACACTATTATATCCCTACCATAGAACAGGTCACAGATCGAAACTTAATTATACCTTTTTTAGGAAATGATCATATAGTCTAAAAGTTGACATCTGTTTCTCTTAGTTGCTTAGTTCACAACTACAGTCCATTCTTTAGCCAAGTTTGACCTACATTAAATACTTGATGCTAAATGTGCACATGCCACAAAAAAAGGTTTAAGTAGGATCCATGTTGACATACAGCCATCTCTTGGGCTTCCTGCTCAAGTGTATTTGAAAGATTATTCTGATGAAATTGTAGTTTTTTTTTCCCCAAGAAATATCATTTCTATTTATAACACTTCAAAAAATGATAGTGATGGGATTTTTTGTTTGGTAGCCTCCTCTTCCCCCACACCCACATTCCATTAGGGTTTAAGATATATGCTTCCTCCTGGCCTGTTTTCTTTAAAATTCATGATGTTGTTGTTGTTGTTTGTTGTAGCCCTCTACATTCCTAGAGTGTGTTTCTTTATTGTAGCAATCTGGGTTGAGGGTTTTAACAATATTCCATTTGAAGTTTTCATTCTTTGCCAGTGAGCCATCAAGTCCACAATCGAAACTGAATTCTCCTGTGTGGCCCCTTACAGAACTACTAGATCACTGAGCCTAATTTTCAATAGTTTTGAAATACGGATTTCCAACTAAGATTTAATCTTCACTTTCAGGTGTTCAGTGTTAGCCTTTCTTAAAATACAGGAAACAAGGGCTCAGACTAAGGAAATGTTCTTTGAATTTCTCTCTTCTGTTTAAGGTTATGATGATGGTTCTTCCATTACTGATATTTGTATTGCTGCCTAAAGTTGTCAACACCAGTGATCCTGATATGAGACGGGTAAGTGTGCTCAGTATGAGTAGATTAAAAAATATTACTGGATATCAAATTTTTAGCTAACAGTGTTGATGAGATGTTAAGTTACAAAAAACTGGAATGTGCCTCATGGGGGAGACACTAATAGATAGTTGTATACAGTGAAAACTAAGTTGCAAGCAGAGTTACTTGGTTCTAATCTTCCACTTGGGTTAGAACACAGAGTTTAATTATGTACAATTACGAATTGCATTATGTTCTGATATTTTCCAGGCTTTCTGCAAAAATCAGTTCCCTAGTCTCTGTCCACTGAGTTTTCCTGTAAATCTTCTCCCAATTTGAACTCTTAACTGTTAAAATCAGGCATTGAAAACCCAACAGGGCTTGCTTTTATGAACTTTGAATAATATTTATGGACATTCGTAGGTGTGTTATGACCCATAAGACTTAGTGTTCTTTTCCCCTCCTGTGCCTTCACCAAAAATGCATGGTTTACTCTGCTGTTAATTTCACCATGTGTCACAGTGGTGTTATGATATGGAGCCTTAATGTAGCCACTTAATTTTTTAAATTATCCTAATTTATTGTCCTTTTACCATGCAAAATGCCAAATAGCGGAAGGCTAGGACAAAATGGAGATTCAAGGTGTTTACTAAATCTTTTCTACTATCTTGAAATGTTCATTGTCTGTCTTGAGGTGGCTGCTTCTTTTGGCATTCAGTTGGTTCCAACTCCTCTTTCTCAGAAACCACTGTCTCCAGTAGTCCTTTACCGGTGTCCAGGCCTCTTTAAAGTGATACATTTTAAAAGCAAAAATCAGAAGGCGTTTAATGCCTTTGATTTAATTCTGATAGAAACTAAAACTTGAAAGTTGACCAACTACCTGTGAAATGTTGTTCTTCTAGGCTGAATCCTAAACAAAAGAGAACACCCAAAAAACCTGTTCTTTAAGTGCATGCACTACTCCACTGCTGGGGAAAAACAAGATGCTTTTATTGTTTTGGTTTTTATTAACTAGACCTAAAACATTCTCTCATGAAAAAGGCGCTTTTACTACACTCTTCAATAGTGTATTGGTTTGTTTGTGTTTTTTTACTTTTAGGTAATCAGCATATTGATACCTACTGTATAAAACTGAGGTAATAGTTGTGCTCTTGTATAAGTATTAAATATTAGGTATAATATCAACAGGCTTACTAGCTAACTTTTGACTAGTTCTTACTTGAAAAACACTCGAAATTATAAGACAGTTCTGAAAATTTGCATTGCGTTTCTGTCCCTCGTTAACAAAACTGAAGAGTTATAGCACACTGAAAAAACAATTTCACTTGTATTAATACAGGTAAAAGAAGAAAAAAATGTTTATTTTTCAAAATGTCTAAAGTTAAGCATAGATGGATGTCTCCACATTAAAATCCTTTTCTGCACATAGAAAAGGAAGACATTGAGGCATCCGCAATCAGTGCTGTGAACTAGCTGTCAAATAATGGGTAGCTATTGGTAGGGATATCTATTCTGCCCAACTTCCCTCCCCACCAAAAGCAGCCTGAAAGCCTGGGTCAGGTGATTTAGGCCCCTGCTACTGTGCTAAAAATAGCACTCTAAACTTTCCTGTTAGGGGTAGAGCCTGTGCTCTAAAAATGGGTGGAGTATTTTGCAGTGTAGACCCTGTCCTATGTACATTTCTGCTAGATGTGCAAAAAAATTAGTTTTTTCCAAATCTTTCGGCCAAATCTGAAAAACTTAAAAATATGTGAAGTTTGGAAGAGGACAGTGAACTTAATCTAAACAATATAGTATTGTACAGAGGATCTTAACTAGAGTTGGCTTTGACAGATGGATAGTTTTTATATACAGTAACAATAATGTGTCCTGTAAGGCTACTTGAGACATGGTTGCTTTGGTTATACTGAGTGCTTTTAGTATTTTTTTTTTAAGTTTCCTTTTATAGTTGGGGATTTGGCTGTGGATGCACAAATAAATTATCTTTATATTGCTGTGCTCACTAGAGAACTAGCGCATAACAACATGATTGAGGAAATTGCAAAGCTACTTACTGTGCCTATTCAACTGATATTTCAGAAACAGTTTTGAACAGTCATGAGTTTTACATTTAGATTTTTTTTTTTTGGTAATGTGCAGGAAATGGAGCAGTCAATGAATATGCTAAATTCCAACCACGAACTGCCTGATGTCTCAGAGTTCATGACAAGACTATTCTCTTCAAAATCTTCCAGCAAGTCTGGCAGTGGCAGCAGTAAAGCAGGGAAAAGTGGTGCTGGAAAAAGGAGGTAGTTGTTTCTTCCTCCTGGGCCTTAGTTTGCACAACTATTTTTGTGTGGTATCATCTGTATGGGTCTTAGAAGTTCAAAACACCACTGCTGTAAACTTGATTCAACATGAAAATTGATCTGCTACAACTGTTGTATGTGATGTAGCTTTTTAGCCTGTTTAAGCTGTTTTGTACTTTGGCAGTAAGCAGAAAAGGACATGGCTTCAATCTTGTATGTGTATAAGGTCAATATTGATGATACTGAATTAACTGTATTGCTCTGTAGAAAATGACATTAAAGTAATTAAATTATATGATGTGCTATACCTTAATGAATAAGTTTTAATTTCTGGACAAAATCTCACTATATATAAAAACATTTGGTTTTAAAGAAAGTTTTATTCTGAAAAATGAGCTGAACATTTTTTCTATCCTTCTCTTCTAACCAGTTCTTGAATACATGAAGTTTCTCCCTTTGCTGACATTGAGTCATTTGAGTGTACTTCTGCCAGCTAGAAGTATTTGAATTGAATATATTATATATTTGAGTTATTTTATTTTGTATGTACATTTGGTGGCTGCCAAAATCCTATTTAATAAGGTTAGTTTGAGTGGAATTATAGATCATGGGTTTTTCTGTTTCATTTTACTTATTTAGCAGCTGCCACAGAACTTCAACACGAGCAGGCAAACACCTTTTTTCAAAACTTCTCACAGTATCTATCAAGTCACTTATGGATCTTTAATAGCCATACAGTAAAGGAATTCAGCACAGATTCCTCAGCTTACACTGAATGCCTCATTTCTGCTTACTAGTTCTCTAACTGAAACAAAACACAGGACTATGCAGCACTTTAAAGACTAACAAGATGGTTTATTAGGTGATGAGCTTTTGTGGGCCAGACCCACTTCCTCAGATCAAATTGTGGAAGACAATTGGCATGACCATATATACCAAAGGGCTGCAATCAAAAAAATGTGACTAACCTTCCCCCCCCCTCTAAAATCTGATTTGTCAGTTTTATGTGTTCACATTTTTTTGATTGCCAATTTTCTTCCACAATTTGATCTGAGGAAGTGGGTCTGGTCCATGAAAGCTTATCACCTAATAAACCATCTTGTTAGTCTTTAAAGTGTTGCATAGTCCTGTCTTTCATTTCAGCAAGACCAGACTAACATGGCTACATCTGTATTACTATTCTACATGCATAGCTCTCTGACTGTATTTGCTACCAGTCTGAAGGCAAACACAGGGCAAACAAATTTAAAAGTAGCTAGGTTGACTCCCACTTAAAAGTTAATTTAAAACTGCTTATATCAAATTCCATAATAGAACATGATTGCATTTGAAGGTAAATGGGCATGTGGTCTTTTATTGGCAATACTCTTTTTCATCTAGACTTACTAGGCTGTACGAGAATCACTCACTCATTTGGTCAGAATGGAAGAACAAACAGAATCTGCTCAAGCTGCTCGGGGTTGAGCACATTTTAAAGGTGTTTTAAATCCAATACAGATGGATGCTGTAACTTAGCCAAACTAAAGTTTAAAATACTATTTTAGCTGAAAATCATTTTTCACTGTACTTAGAATAAGAGGGCTGATTAAATATTAAGGTATCATCACTCTTTCAGTTTGTCCACACACATTCAAGGTTAGATTTTAATAAATCTGAAATTTAAGCAACCACAAATCAGCTTAAAGGAAAACATCAATAATCTTATTACAGCAAACCTTTATAGCTAGGAACCATAAGTTAGAAACTAACATTCTTGTTCTAGAAGCAGCTGGATCTCTGACAAGTATAAAGGTGTTTTTGGCCTTTCTAAAGTAAATCATGGTTAGTGGATTGATGAGTGCTTTATGTTTTTAAGATGTGCAGAATAGTCTATCGCTCCTAACAGGAATGTTGTCGAAGTGAGGCATTATCTTCTTCCCAAAGTCTTCTTTCTTGTATAATAGTGAGCTGTAACATTTCAGGTCACCTGTTTCAACATCACCTTACTAAAGGACTCATTAGAATACCCCAGAATTTGGCCTCTAAGGGTACACTTACACAGCAGTGTTATTTCAGAATAACTGATGTTATTCTGAAATAATATAGTATGCATCTACCCTACAAGTTGTTATTTCAAAATAATGTTGAGTTGGAGGGCAACTTACTGTAACTCATGGTAACCCTCATTTCCTTTGACTTCCCTTACTCCTTGTGAAAAGTGTTCTTCCTTCTACTGCCTGCTGTGTAGACAGCCAAAAGCTGAAATAAGCTATTTTGACTTTAACTACGCAATTGACGTAGCTGAAGTTGTGTAACGTAATTCAACTTTACCCTGCTGTGTAGACATATCCTAAATGTAACAAACTGCTGAAAGTGAATAAGAGGGGCATTAGCTGTGGTATTTATCCCTAGATGTATAAACAGTGGTTTGATAGGCTTAACCTTTTTTCTATCAGCATAATAAATTGCATTAACTATTGGTTTAATTTGTAGTTTAGAACTGTAATTGACATTTACAGACAACCTTCAGTAGTGCTTGAATAAATATGAAAAACAGTAGTCTGGAAAACTTCTAATGTCTGGAGGACTTGATGTCATGTGAAAGAAGGGAATTTAGTCCTTGAAGGGGAAGTGAACTCTTATGTGTGAAAAGTAAGGCAGTGAGTACAGAGAGGCAAATGTAGTGGCAGGATTCAGGTGAAATGTACTTTCTACCTTGTTAGAGACAAAGGCACCTATTCCATTTGAGAGTCCTGTTAGTTACATTTTCTATTAAAGGCTGTTTCAGACTCAATATATATAAAATAACAATAATGCTATGTTGCATTGTTTTTTCCCCTCTCCCTCCATAAGTGAGGGTGGTGTGCAGAACCATCTTGGGATGTGGGGGGCTTACCTGAGACAGCGCCCCTGGAGGAGGAGGGGAACAGGCAGCTCCATGTAGCCTGTGCTTGCCTGCAGGCATTGTCACCAGCACTGCCATTGGCCGGGATTCCTGGCCAGTGGGAGCTGCAGGGACAGAGCCTCCAGACAAGAGCAGTGCAGGGACAGAGCTTTCCAATGCTCCTGGCTCCAGCAAGGAAGAGGAGGAATGGCAGTGTGTGGATGTGCTTTCCCCCTAGCCTGCCTGGAAGGGCTGGTCTAGGACACAGGTGCTTTGTGGGCTGCAGCCCCTAATCTTAAAGCTTCTTTCTTAATCTGGCTCTGCTGTATCACTCTACCAGAGAGGCATATTCTTCTGGCCTCATTTGCAGCATTCCTAGGCCCTTGCCCAAAGTGTATTAGGCGGCTATGCAGCTTAGAGGAAACCCTGATCTTCAGCTGTGCTGGAGATGGCATTGTTTACTGTCTGATGGGGTACTAGCCCCAGTATCTGTTAACGCCTGTTTTATTTGAAGCTGGACATAAAAGTGATCTATGGCTGTGGAATGAGTTTGTCAGAACCTCCACTTCAAATACCTTTTCCCTGCTCAGTTACTGCTAATGTGTGTGATCTGTGGCTATTGTCTATTTTCTGTCCAGTTTGGAAGCATATACAAATCCTAGAATAGGCTGTTGTCCTGCCATCTCGCAGATTGTTCTTACTGTGTACTCCAGCATAATAGCTGCCTTCAATAAGGTTATTTGAAGTAACAGAAAACAGTCACCTGACAGCAGTAGAACTGTTAGAGTGGGATATGGTACAGGTTTGTTCCAGAGATTATTTCTACCATCTCATTCAGGCATCTTAATGACCCTTCTGAGAAATTGGATGGAAGAAGGTAAAGGAGAGCTGTGCCGCTATTAGGGCTCATTCCACCTACTGGAACCACTTATGTTAAGATCTGAATATTACTGTGATGAGTAATTCAGACACCTATTAAATAATTTTGCCAAAGGTGTGTCTGATGATCTCTTTTACCTATACATGGGAGAGAAATTTCATTTTCAAAACTGAGTTTTACCTTGTTGCACGTTTAAACAATTTGTAATTGTCCCTACCTAATCTGTAAAATGGACATGATAATGCATACCAATGTTCTTGGGCTGTTCTGAAGATTAATTGCTTACTTTATCAGAGGAAAGACATGCTGAGATTAAGGCCAGTATGAGAAAAGGATTGAAATTCAGGAGATAAGCTTTCTGGACAGTGCTATAGACTTTTTGTGACTGTGGGCCATTCAGATCCATACCTATAATATATAGACAATATTTTCCTTCATATCACAGGAGTGTTATGAAGATCAATTCATTAATTATTATGATCTCAAAGAATACAATGATGAGCAATATAGAAAAGTCTATAAATACAAGGTAAGTTTCCTGACAATAGATAGATAAAAGTATTCTCGCATTTAAAGGAAAAAATCCTGTAGGAGCTAGTTTTAACAGACAATATTCACTGACAGTGGTTTACACTGTGTGTGGCCATTTTGCAAGTAAGCATGTGTGGGCAAGCAGGGAAAGCAAAACATGGAGCCTGCCTACCTACCTGCTGCAAGTCCAATCCATGGTCTTTTCACAATTGTAGTTCCTGCACTTGCAAAAGCGCACACACTGTTACCTGGCTGTGTGCCTGATGGTGCAAAACACCTATATTGGGAAAGGGGGAGTCAGTGGCCATGCCTTCCCTGTTGTATGAGGTGAGAGTAAGTGGGCTTTGGGTAAAACACAGGACTGGGACTCGGCAAGGCTACTGGGTGATCTTGGGCAAATTGTTTCCCATCTTCTGCTTTAGTTTCCCTTTCTGTAAAAGGGAGGATCACAGCACCGCTTTTTGTAAAATATTTTAAGCTATGCTGGTGCTAAATACTGTGTAAGAGCCTCAGTATTGTTATAGTATTATCTAAGATTAAGATGGCCTACCAATCTCTGCACCTGTCATTCAAAAAAAGATTGTGCCCCAGTGCAGGGCTCTGCTTACATGGCACAATTTAGCCCAGTGTTTGTAACCATCCCTCTGTCATCATACTAGTGCATGCTAATCTGAATGTGATGGTTTAGAATTGCAGTTAATCAATGAAAAACCTGAAAGCCTTTTTAGTGGTAGAAATGTAGCTGTGTTAGTCTGGTGCAGCTGAAACAAAAAACAGGACGGTGTAGCACTTTAAAGACTAACAAGATGGTTTAATAGGCAATGAGCTTTCATGGGCCAGACCCACTTCCTCAGATCAAATAGTGGAAGAAAATTGTCACAACCATATATACCAAAGGATACAAATAAAAAAAAAAAATGAACATTTGTCCTTTTCATATGTGTTCATTTTTTTTATTTGTATCCTTTGGTATATATGGTTGTGACAATTTTCTTCCACTATTTGATCTGAGGAAGTGGGTCTGGCCCATGAA